TGCAACTGGTATTCTCCACCTCAAACGTTTTCTCCACCGTCAGTTTGAGATGAAGGACCTTGGTACTCTCAACTACTTTTTAGGCCTTGAAGTCTCTCATGATCCTACTGGCTCTTACTTATCTCAGGCCAAATATGCATCCGATCTTCTGGCTCGTGCTGGTCTTACTGATTGCAAAACTACATCTACTCCAGTTGATCCTCAGATTCGTCTCACTCCTCTCGACGGGGCTCTCCTCCCTGATGCTACTCTCTATCGTCAGCTCGTCGGCAGTCTTGTCTATCTCACAGTAACTCGTCCTGACATTGCCTATGCTGTTCACATTGTTAGTCAGTACATGTCGGCTCCTCGCACTCCCCACTATACTGCTCTACTTCACATCCTTCGGTACATCAAAGGCACCCTGTTCCATGGCCTTCACTACTCTGCTTCCTCATCTCTGGAACTGCGTGCCTTCTCTGATGCTGATTGGGCTGGGGATCCTACGGATCGACGCTCCACCACGGGCTTCTGTTTCTTCTTAGGGGATTCTCTTCTTACTTGGCGTAGCAAAAAACAATCCCTCACTGCCCGTTCTAGCACCGAAGCTGAATACCGAGCCCTTGCCGATACTACTCAGGAACTTCTCTGGCTTCGCTGGCTCCTCACTGATATGGGTATTTCCTCTTCTGGCGCTACCGCTCTTTATTGTGACAATCAGAGTGCTATTCAGATTGCTCACAATGATGTTTTCCATGATCGCACCAAGCATATTGAGATTGATTGCCATTTCATTCGACAACATGTTACACGTGGTACTGTTCATCTTCTCCCAATTGCTTCTGCCGATCAACCTGCTGATATCTTCACCAAGGCTCATTCTCCTGGGCGCTTCCGTGATCTTGTTTCCAAACTCAACTTGGTCGATGCCTACCCTCCTTGAGTTTGCGGGGGGCTGTGTTGACATATAATATACATATAATATACACCCCCACTACCATGTATAGCTGTAAAAGACCTTGCATCTGTAAAGGCCACAATGTGTAGCTGTAAAGAAGAGAACTTTCACTTTAGCTTTAGCTTCTCTCAATGTAAATTACCAGGCATCCGATTCTAATTGTCTCCCTCTCCTCTCTATAAAGAGAGGGAGCTTGCTCTCTTGTAAGATACAGAAACATAATATAACAACACCAACTTTCAGTCCCTCTCTGTTCTCTTCCTCGTTACCAACCTTACAGTGGTAATTATCGTTATTGTTATGACCGTTATAGCAGTGTAATGAAAATTCATATGTAACGGTTGTTTCAGTATTACGTAACAACCGTAACGGTCCATTACACACCATTATATCCTTTAACAAAATTCTGAATATTTCATTTTCCCATCCCAAAAAAGAGCTTACAAAAAAAGAACAAATATTCAAGTGATCTAAATCCAAACAAAAAATTTTATATGAGTTTTTTTTTCTTTTTAATTTTTATTTCATTACATTAGCATGTAAAATAAAAATATATATATAAACAGTGGTTATATTTATTTTTATAATGATTTTATTTAATATTTAATTGTAAATATTTTTTATTTTGTTACTGTAATGTGTTGTTTAAAAAATATCTTTAAAAAAATAAATAAAATCAGTAGCTTAAAAATAATTTTTGTTTATGGCACAATTTTTATTTTATAATCATTTCATTTAATACTTAATTGTAAACAAGTTTATTTAGTTAGGTATAAATTGTTGTCTAAAAAAATGTCCCAAAAATAATTTTTATTTATGGTATAATTTTTATTTTTACAATCATTTTATGTAATAATTGTAATAATTTTTATTTAGTTAGTTCAGGTATTGGTCAAAAATCATTTGTAGACATTTAAAATCAATTATTCTTAAAGTCATTAATTATTGAAATAAAATGTAAAAAACTCTTCTTATAGTGATTCGGAAATATGAAATATATTGGATCATACTTAAAAATCAAAAAAAATTGATCAAAATCTATTTTAAATCCCAATAAATATGATTCTGAAAAAAAAAAATATGCGTATCGATAAATTTTTTTCAAGTTGTGCAAAAAATTTAAAAAATCACAACTTTAATTACACTATAACCTTTACATCCGACAACCGCACCACTGTAATTGTTACAGTGACCGTAATCCCTTTTCAAGACCTTGGGTATAATGTATTTTGCAGTGTGTCAAAAAAACATTTTTCTTTCCATAGTTGATCTGAAAAGTCAAAAAAAGAGGTCTTGATGATTTGGGAATACATATAAAATTAACTTAGGCCCCGTTTGGGGACTTACTTTTTTAGCCAATTAGCCAAAAAGTTATTAAATTAGCCAAAAAGCTAACAACTCATATCAAAAAGTCAAAGATTCTCTTTTCTCTCTACTTTTTGCACATCTTTTCGTAATTAGCCAAAAAGTCATCCCAAACATACAAGTTTTTTTTACTTACCTTTTTAGCCAAATAGCCAAAAAATTACTAAATTAGCATGTTCCCAAACGAAGCCTTAGTGGTCCTTACACGCACACGCGGTGCGTGTGTAACTTGAAAAAATGTTATGTTATAGGAATAATGACAAATGAAAATGCATATATAGTGTGTTGCATGGTTTTAAAAACTGAATCAAATTAGCCTATTCGATCGGTTAAACCGTCGATCAGTCGGGATTCTGGTCCAGATATACCATTTGAATCAGCAGAATACTAACATATTTAGAGAGAATCGGTAAAGCCGACAGTTGAACTGCCAAACTAAATGACCTGGGTATGGTTCATCGGGTTGATGATATATATTTTTTTTTAATTTATTCTTTCTTTCTTTCTTATTTTATATTATATATGAAAATTTTGATTTGAAACTCTCTTTCAACCGTCTCCTCTTGTAAGGAATCTCATTAAGAGTTTGAAATTATTATGAAAAGTCTCTACTTATTTATAAGAAAAAAATTCTTTCAAAAAAACTCAAGAAACTCATGTGGGATTCAATTAAATTATTTCAATCAAATTTGTTGGAGAGAGACTTGAAATTTTGATTACCCTTCAAAAGTTTGCTCTTTTTTCAATCAAATTATTTGAATTAAAATCATATGGAGGGAATATTGAATATTTAGTTTGCTTTCAAAATTAAAATTAATAATATTTTAAAATATATTTTTATATTTTTTAGTAAAAAAAATTAGGAGAAATATTTAAGATAATTTAACATTTTCATTTTTTTAATTTATAATTCTATTACTTATATTTTTATTTAAATATAATTTTTAATATATTTATAACATCACGATTTGATTCTAATTCAATTTGACGGTTGAACCGATGACTTATACACTCGATCTCTTTTCTAGTTCGTTTACCAGTCTAGTTTTTAAAACATTGTTGTGTTGCTCAACTGATAATAATTTTTGGATAAATTGCAAATACAACTCCTGAGGTTTGCTTAAAATACGAATTGCTCCCTGTGGTTTGGAAAATTACAAATACCTCCCTGTCAGAATTTTTTATTTAACAGAATTAATTGAAAAAGTGAAATTTCTAATTGTTCACCTATACAATAATAAAATTATTTGAATTATTAATTGAAATAAAAATGTAACATTATTAAAAACTGTTAATTAACTTCTTGATTTATTAATAAAAGGACTTATTTGTTGTAAAATTAGAAACCTTAGGGGGCATAATATAATTTCTAAAATCATAGAGATTAACTTGTAATTTAAGTAAACCTCAAGAGTGTGTTTATAATTTACCCATAATGTTTCTACGTACATAACATTGTTGGAAAACAAATCCCTGAAAAATTTAGGCCATTTGGACCCATTATATTTCCATTCCGTAAAAAATTAAGGGTAAATTACACTGACACCACTAATATTTCTTTTTAATACAGATTTCTCCTCACATTTGAAAAATTACATTTACCTCCTTGTCAGATTAAAATGACATATTTACTTCTTAGCCCTTATACATATAAAATAATACAAATATTTTGTTCATATCATTTTAAGGGAAATAACAATTATCTACTTTGGTTTAACTCACACAAAAAATTGAGTTTTTTTATTTTTATTTTTCATGTTTTTTTTTATTTTTACTGAATTTTTAAAATATTTTAAGCATTTTTATTTTTATTTTTATTTTTTAGATACACCTAATCTAAATGTACTTAAGAAGTATAATATTTTGTGATTTTTTTTAATTTACCAAATACAAAAAATATATATATATAAAAATATAAGAATTCAATACATTATCTTATTTTGTATTTAACAGATTTTTTTAAAAGTTGTTTGTACAAATTTTATACTTTTTAAATATATATCTAGATTAAATTGATCTAACCTAGATATAATGATAGAAATAAAAATGAAAAATGATATTCATATATAAAAATTTATACAAAAAATATCATGAAAATGTTGTGATAGTGATATTATTGTAAATATAAATTATGTTTTGTGGTGTTTTGTTTTAAAGTGAAAGGTCACCATTAAGTTATATCATTGTGTTCGAAAATTCTATATAAAATTTATGTTTGTATATCATCACTCAATAAGAATATATTTGTATAAAATTTAATAATGAAAAGTTGTAGAATGTAGTTATGATAATGGAAAGAAGAAATAACAGGAAAAATGACAAGATGGTCATTTAAAAAAATTTAAGACATGACATCAACAATTCATGGAACAATTTGTAATGAGATTTCAAATCTCAAGGAGAAAAATATAATTTTTCAAATGTGAAATTTTTTTTATATTAAACAGAAATATCAAGGAGAGTGTCAATGTAATTTACCCAAAAATTTAATGTTAATATTTGGGTGTTGTGACTATTTGCTTCTAATCCCCGGAAGAACTTGAGCTTGCAAGCTTTTTGGTGCCAAATAATTAAAGATAATGGCTCCACTGTTGCCACTCCATCAAATTAGAAAGTAACAAATACAATATTGATAATAACTAAGGTAATTACACAGTTGATCCTCTAATTTTAGTGAAATTTTATTTTAGCGCTTGGAATAAATAAATTATACCGTCAATCCTTTGAATTTTAAACGAAAAAAACATTATGGGCAAAACTAGCCAAGCTAGGCACCTGACAATGCCACACGCCTATAAGACTTCACCCTGTGAGTATGCAGGGCGGTTGAGATGAGAAATCCAATCTCATTCCACAATAATCCTGGCAATCAAGAGATAAAACCTCAGTAATACTTTAATCAACAATACCAAAAGTCTCAACAACAATCCACATATTCAGTTTAGTTGGAGTTCATATATTGTCACCATCAAAGTAAACTAGAGTTCTATAATTTAAGTGAAAGGTAATGTCTCAGCAAAATAATTCAAAATAACTCTACTCTTAGCACTTTATCCCAAAAATGATTTGCACAATACCATTCCTCTGGACCTGTAATAAAAAAGAAGAGAATCAATTTGATAGCTCAATGAATATATGAAAAATAAAAGTTTCGTAAGAATTTTTTTAGGTCAATTGATAGGAGATTATTTAAAAATTTGGAAAGACATTCAGATTATCATAGTCCAACAATCATAGAAGCTCAACAATCAACTTAACAAACAGCCCCATAGTAAAAAAGAGATAAACAACACAACAAATAGCCCAATAAAGAAACCCCATAATTGAGGAGATTCTTAATCTTTGCCTTTAGCAAGGATTGACACCCTGACCTCTAAAATAAGATTATATAATGGTGATAAATTGAGTTAGCTTAGTTGGTTCAATAAGTAAAGTTGAACGACAAAGATTTTTCATAAATCTTCTGTGATTCAAGAGTGTAAAGAAATAGTCCTGCAATTCAGTTAACATTAAAGAAACAATAATTCCAATAAGGTGAGTTCAATAATCATACAGTTTATGAACTCATAGGATTCACCATTCGATATCTCATAAAAATCGATAATTAAATACAATCCAAAACTCAATGGTTTGATAAACACAAGCTCAAGTTTTTGCAACTGCAACCACAACAGTAACCAGTGACAAAAGCCGAAACCACTATGGTCAAAGACCAAAAGCATTAAAGAAAGTAGTTTTTGTGTCAATAATTAATCCCAATTTTCTTAGGCCCCGTTTGTTTCCAGAGATGGAATGGAGGGGATTGATAGTGAGGGGATTAATAATGAGGGGATTGTTAGTGAGGGGATTTTAGGGTCCAAATCATAGTCAATTCATACTCTTGACAAAATACATGAATCCACAGAGCTTATTGTTGTGAAACAGTATTGTGATCAGACTCTGAAAATCATAAACCAACAAGCAGAATTTAAATAGTAGGCAAGGCACGTCCTTGACGTTACCTATAAGATAGTGACTTCCCTCCATGATACAGTTCCTACTAGTATGAAGACCGTTTCTAAGGTTGTATTCCTTAGACATCTTACAACCAAAAGCTTAACCCAGAAATCAGAATAAAAAAGAGAACAAAAGCAGAGATTACATAAGCAATTGTATGCCTAGGGAATCACTATAAAGGGTTCAAATATACACAATCTACAGAAGGACACAACCCTTCTTATAGACACAGAAACAATGCGAAATTTAAACTCACATAGAACCATTAAACAGTTAGAGAAAAACTTAAACCGTTTTGGACCAAATGGCTATCATACTGATTGTCTATTTGAATTTTTAATTCTTTTATTTTCTTTCTTTCTACACATATATATCAAAAACAACTAGAGGCTACATATCATGGATATCCTCAAAAAATGGTCTTCAATGGAAGCTTGAAGAAATATGAAATGCTCTCCCCTATTTATTGAAGAAGAGTTCAACAATAAATGCCCAAAACTCCCATGTGGGAACCAAGCAAAAAATTTGAATCTTAGTGTTTGGAAGGATAGTGAAATATTGAAAAAATTTTGGATACCAATAGGGTACCAAGTGGCACTACCCTTCCACCAATCACAAATATATATGCCCCCTATTGTTCTCCAAACGCCCAACATAGGGCTCCCTATTCTACTACCATTCACCAATCATAATAGTGGAAGGTACCACATGGATATACCTTATCCACATACAAAAATCACTTAGAAATATTGGATTCCTTCCAAAAGTGTGGAGTTAATATTGTTATTAGTAAATGACTACTAACATACAACACTTCCAAAACATTTCAATAACAATAAATCAATTATCACAAATTGTTTTGATAATCTCAAAGTTAATTGAAATTCTCTTACTTGATCCTCATTTAGCATAAACAAAAGCAAACATTAAAATTTTCATTTTTATAAGAACCAAGAGGGATTTCATTACTCAATGTCAGACATTTTCCAAATGGAACATGCAGTTGACGAACTATCAGGTCACTTACCCCCTTTACTGCAGTGAAATGAATCCAAACCTGTAAGCCAAAGAGTTCACAAAATTCTTCACAAACCTGTAGAAAAAAAATCCGGAATAATTAAAAAAAAAAAACAGTTCTATGAACTCAAAAGCCACCATTAAAAAAAGGAAAATAAACATAGAACACTGTATTTTTTATGGTTGAATTCAGTGTACCCAACTTTTCTCTTATAAATTAAGTACTCCCCATATCTCAATCAAAACTAGCTAATATTTAATTCACTGGTTAAACCCTTAACCTTAATTATCTAGTTTCAGGGAAAATATGCATAAAAAGGGAAGAATTAATGAGCTTTTCTTCCTAATCTAATCAATTAACTAGCACATACCAATAGAGGCTACAATTTGACCTTGGGTGAACCAACTGCTTAGGCTAACAAGTCTCTAACATCTCTAAGTAGAACTTCATACATGAGAAGATCTTACGCTGTCTTGCTTCAGGCCGTCATTTATGAAACTAGATTATAAAATGTATTCGAATTTTAATTTCTCACATTTCATTGTAAGATCATTTGAAATTATTTTCTATAACAATCTGTAGAAATTTACATGTATTCGATTAACAACTAACAAAATTGAATATGAAATTCAAGAACTTCTACATCTTATGTAACAATAGTTCATGTGTGTGCATGTGTACACTTGATTTCTGTGTCTGCAAGTGTTTTGAAATTGAAGTTTAGTATTTACATCATTACAATTTCAAAGGTAATATACTAGTAGAACTTTTATAATAAAATCAACTTTTAAGAAAGATTTGTTTCAGTATTTTCAATTGTTTTTAGGGTCATGCCGAAGAAATATTATTATTATTTTTTTAAAATATAAATTTGAAAATAAGGTGAAAGTAATGATTTTTTTCATAAACCTTACTCTGTATCATAAACATAAAAACTCACCCACATTGATAACTAGTAAACCTAGTATGTGTCTACTAGTTGTATTTTACCATATCCAAAATATTTATGTGAATAACAATGTTAAATTCCAATACACAAATATTTGAAACTTCGGTGACATGAATTTTGGTGTCAGACGTGTTGTGACTTCACTACATTTAGGGCTAATTGAAAAATTTGTAAGTATTTACTCGAATGCACTTTGCCGTGTTTTTAATCTGACACACTATTACGACATTACCTTGAATTCGAAAGAACAAAGGCTGTAGAGTGGTTTTGGCATGGGGATCATCTCATTCCAAAGATTCCCACCATTCTTCCTCTCCTCCAATGGACCGAAGAGCAGGTGGTGCTGATACTTGCTCACTATCCATGTGCAAAGAAAGAGGCAGTCTCCTTACCATGGGACACTTGCTTATATAAACATGTCTCAAAGATTCACAAACCATTATGCCCTTACATATGCTCTTGGTCTTGGTAGATTTTCTAGTTTTAAAATCTTGAAATTTGGGAGTATGACTGTGTTACTATCGTCTTGATGATTGCCCCAGTCACTCATCTCTGCTTCCACCATTATGTCCTCCACATTCTCACAATCACACACTACAAGTTCCTCAAAGTTTGGAAATTTCTGCAAAAACTTTGCAGGGAAAATAATCTTGATTCTAGGACATCTATAGAAGTACAATTCCTTAAGGTTAAAGGAAATGTTGCATGGTGGAATAACTCCATCAAAGAGCACCCTAAGATTGGGTAAATCACTAAACCATAATTCCTCAACCCTTCTTAGCGGGGTGTGGTAGCCTTCTGAGAAGGATGATAATGAAAAGATGGATTCTATCCCATTACAGTCTCGGATTTCACATATTCTTAAATCTCTTGCATCCCTCAACAACTGAATATCCATCAAGCTAATCAAATAGTGACATCTTCTAATCTCGAGGATCTCTTTGTTGCAGGGGAGCACTAGAAGATCTACTCCAGTACTTCTTAAAAGTTTAGAGTCATAGGTACAAATTTCTTTCGATTCAGCAAAGTAGTCTTCTTGTATGTCATCTCGGTCATTTTTATAAACATTTCCCACCATAACGTGGTAGTTTTCCAAACTTTGGCACTGCTGAGATGTCACAAAACTGGTAAGCTCTTGCACATTGTGAAACTGAGCTCCAAGAACTTTTAATTGCGTCAAGCACAACAGCTCTTCTGCCGACACATATACTTTTGTTCTGTTAATTCTAAGGCATTGGAGTTGTGAAAGTCTGCATAACTCCCAAGAAGAAAACATATGTAGCCTGGGAGAGATCAAGATTCCTGAGATTACTCAATTCTTCTAAACCTTGTGGTACTTCTTCAATCTGACTTTCAGTCAGTTTCAACTCTTTCAATGCCTTTAGTTTCTCCAGTGATGGCACATACTCTAGTTGCCAACAATACTCTAGAGGAAATGTTTCCCATAGATCGTCTAAGATGAGCACATGCCTCTTCTTTTGGGAAAGCATTGTATATATTTCTGATGCTCTTCTTGTTTCATCTGCATAATTTGAAAGATCAAGATCCAGGGCTTCAATTATCTGCCTCTGTAGATTTCTAACATTGAATGCTTTAGATACTGTTACCCAAATAACATCACCGACGTTACAAGTTCATTCAAGAATCGATTGTTGATGTGATGCATGATGGTTGTTTTGCCAACTTCCCCCTTTCCGTAAATGCCAATCCTTCTAACCTCATCATCCATCAGGTATTCCCAAACTTTCTCCATGTTCCTTGCACTCGTGATTTCACCAAGAGATCCAGTAGTTGGTATCAACTGTGCACAACTTGGAAATGCATCAATCAACAAATCATTAGAAAATCTGCCCTTTTCTTGCACCTCTGCCACTTCCTTAATCTTCTCCACAAAAAGCTTTCCAACCGTACGCGCACGAAGACATTCTTCCATCCGACTATTTCTTGCTCTTGTATTTGCAATGTTTGGACATCACCTCTTATCCTTTGCACATCTTTTTGCCAAACTTCAACTTCTTTTCTTTCGCCTTTTCCTTGACCGCTGCTCTGCAATGCTCACTTCTTTATTTATGTCATTCTCTTGACTGCTTAAGTATTCTGTCTTTCGTTTGAGATTTTTCATGTTAGCATCAAGGCAATTGATATATCCAATCCATTTTTGAGTTGCTTCCCACGTACTCTTCCCAATTTCAAAGATTGAATGTAAGAATTCCATGGTGTGGTCAGTTCCTGCAAATACTGAAGAGGACTGTTTTTAACTTCAATATCAATTCTGACAGTTGTTAGAAAGCAATTTGAAATCTGATTTACAAAAGCAAGAGAGAGAGGAAATTATGCTAATATATGCAAATTGTCTCCATATTCACCTCAAAACAATAGAAAATCAGTCTTGAATTACTGACAAAAGAGTGATTGTGCTAAATATATATTAGTAACAATGAACCAGCATTTATGTTGTTCAAGAATTGCTGCTCTGGTGTTGTTTGTAAATTTCGGATAGGCGGGTGATCTAAAACACAAACAAGAATTGATGACTGAGTTTGGAATCATTAGACCCCTAAACCCATAAAACCTCTAAAAGGAAGCTGATTTTATTTATTCTTGTGTATTGATAACAGATTTTAATGTTACTACTAGCTGCATTTTACTACAAGTGAGTGTAAATGAATTGTGAAATATCCTGGAAAACTAGCAATTTTGCAAATTATTTTATTTTATTTTATTTATTTTATTTTTTTTGAGATAAATTTTGCCGAAAGGAGTTCCCTAACAAGTAGCACAGCACACTATTTTTAGAGCTTCAATTTTCAGAGATAAAAATAAGTTTCTAAATACAGAATTAAACTTGTCTCAATTATTTGCCTAAAAAAAATCACAAAGCAACATTCTCCTAGAACATGAATTGAAACAATTCAGTTTTTTATTATAAAATACACACACACATAAGGATGGCAAAATACCCCAATCCGTCGGGTCCACGACTCTCCCCGACCCTAATGGGATGGGTTCGGGGGTGGTTGAATAGAGTAGGGTCGGATTTGGGGAAACCTTTGAACAACCCGATTGCGTTTGGGTCATGGGCGAGGGAGAGAATTTTTTAACCCGAACCCTACCCTACCCGACACACACATATATATAGTATATGTAGTGTGCTCATACCAGAACTAAAACTAGAACTCTGCACCCTCTCTATTTTAGGAGAAAGAAGGCACAAGTAACTTGAAGACTAAGAAGAACAACAGCTTACTGTTAATACATATGCTTTACTTCTTAGTTTGGAAAATTAAAGGAAGAGCAATTATTTACTATTTTGTAGATCAGGTCAACAATCAACTATAATGGACCAGGGTCCTCTGTCTACTCAGCAAAAACAAACCCAAATTCCTGTCCATCTCTCAATACACTCCCAACCATTGGATCATGTAGAAATCTCAACACACCTAAATTTTGAGGCATGATCCAATGGTGAGATCAGAAAATTTGTGTAATTCCCATAGGAGCATTGTTTGAATTTTAGGAGCATCTCCAATCCTTAACCTTTTTTTCATCAAATTTAAATTTTGATGAAAAAGTGCTAAAATATCTATCTCCAAGCCATTCATCAAATGTTATCAAATCAAGGGAAAATCATTTTTTTCATCAAATTGAGAATTTATCAAATCCTTCGTCAAATTAGAATTTGATGAAAATTTAAAAAGATGAAGCATTTGAGATGATTTTTTTAAAATCAAATTTGATGAAAATATAAATTTGAGATAAGAAGGGAATTTAGCATTTTACTAAAATTTGGAATCTTTTCATCAAATTTGAAAAGACCAAGCTTTTTACTAAAAATGAAAAAATTGATGAAGGGTTTGGAGATACTCTTACCGTTTGGTTGATGGATTTGGGTAGAAATTTGAAAAGGAAAAGAAAAAAGGCAGGTGAAATGTAAATAAAATATAGTTAGATTTCAGACACTTTTTTCGTTTTCCTTTTCAAATTCTTACCCAAATGCATGAACCAAACACAGGCTACGCTACGGACTTGATTGGGTGAGAAAACCTAATTTAACAGCAAATATGTTTGAAGATCATGACGAGACCTTGTATCAAATACAAGCTTGGCTTGTAAGATCTTTTCCCCAAAAACCGTTATTGAGGGTCAAACTTCAAATAATAGCAAAAGAAAAAGTCTGAATCCAAAAAAAAGAAAAAAAAAATTGAAAAGCAAGAGCAATGAAGGAAAACTGAGCCTCAGGAATCAGAGAAACTGACCTAATGATGGGTTGAGAGAGTGATGATAGAGCTGATAAAGAAGCTCTGGAAACCAAACAAAGAAGATGATGAAAATGGATTTTACAGACTAACAGAGAGTTTCCTTTTGCCATTGACAGCCTAGATTGAAGTGCAGAGTCAAACCAAAGTGAATAAAATACTATACATATTCAAAATTACTGATTCTGGATTAGCGGGAAGCGATATCTCCATACACGATGCATGTTAAGTGTCAAAATTACCGACCCGATTATATTTGTCCCAATTTAATTTTAATAAAAAAAAATTATGAGAGCATTACAAAATATGATAAATACACGATTATATTTGTCCCAATTTAATTTTAATAAAAAAAAATTATGAGAGCATTACAAAATATGATAAATACATAAGTATGTAGATTAAAAATATCAAAATTATGATAAAATATATAGTGTTAACTTTTTAACTTTTTGAGTAATTTTTTGACTTTTTGGCTTTTTTAGAAGTACCCAAACTTGGCCTAGTATTTTAAAAAATTATAAATGCCCCTTATTATTATTTGGGACACTTACCAATAAGTCATATATATAAAATTCAAAATTCATCTAGTTCCAAAACATAACACTTGCACCAATTAATTTTATATATTTTGAATTGTTACCAAAAAAAAAAATTTATATATAAATTTAAAAACATTGCTACATCCCACCACCGCCGAACTTTCGTCAGACGGTCACTGGAGACTCTCTAAAATGTTCAACATCACCGGAAAATCGCCAGAATATCGTCGGAGTATCACTAAAATGTTCTGAACGTCATTGAAAGTTGCCGGAATGTCTAGAATGTTCACTGAACGTCAAGAAACATTGTCGGAGACTCACTGAAATGTCCAGAATATTGCTGGGGAAAAAAAAAAGAATAAAAGGATAAATTACAGTGAATAAACATAGCAAAATGTGTTAAATATTGATAAACTAAAAAAAAAAAAAAAACCATAACAACAAACAATAATAATGTCAAAAAATATATATTATTTTTCAATTTTTATAGGATTTAAGCAAATAATCTCCAATATTGATCAAATTGAAAAGTAAGTTTTGAAACTGTAAAATCTTACACTTTCAAAATATGATTCTATTAAACATTTATCCTTATTGATCAAACTGGAAAACATGTTATGAAATTGTAGAATTTTACAGTTCTAAAGAATATTATGAAACTGCAAAATTCTACAGTTTTAAAGCATGATTCATTTCAGCACAAAAAAAAACTACAACTCTAAATTTTACAATTTTCACCGTCTGTAACTAAAACTCGAAAAAAAACTTGTTCATATTTTAAAAAATTTCTTCATTAAAATAGAAAAATAGAAGTGTATAGTAGAGAAAAAGGTAGAAAAATTAAGAGATCGAAGGAAAAAAACAAATATAAAGAAAACATTATACTCCGGCAACTATTTTCGATTTAGATTTAGTTGGATCTCATGTAGATCTACATCAGATTTGAGTAAATCTATTCATCTTCTTCGCCAGAAACTCATCTCCTTCACAGTTGGTGAGGGTGAAATGAAGAGTCGATGGTCGGTGGTTGCCAATGAACCCCAATCAATGGTGGTTGTCGGTCGCCGGTGACTATGAGCTTGTTCGGGATGTGGGTTAGTTTTTTGGCTTTTGGACTTTTTTAGCATGGGGCTAGAAAGCCTCATTTGGGATAAATTTTTTGGCTTTTTGACTTTTGTAAAAGAAAAAACGAAATAATTATAGGTTTGATGTGACATTTTGTCATATTTTGCTAAAAAAACCTGTATATTAGAAAGAGAAAGAGAATAAATAAGGCGTAGTTCTTGGTCGCCGAAAATCAAGAAGAGAAAGAGACAAAGACAAAGAAGAACAAATGCATAAAAAAGAATAAAGAAGAAAAATACAAAATGGACTTTTGAGAGTATCCAAAACGTTTTGGGACTAAATAGACTTCTCTTTTAAATAGGACTTCCAGGTAATTTGCTCAATTTTTTACTTAACAGAATTAACTAAAAAATGAACCCTAATCTTTAACTATTCTCCTATACAATAATAAAAGTATCTGAATTATTAATTGAAACAAAATTTTGATATTATTAAAAACTATTAATTGACTTGATAATTTATTAATAAAATGAGCCATTTGTTATGAAATTAGATATTTCCAATGACGAAATATAATTCCCAGAATTACATGAAACAATTCATATTTTAAGCAAATTTTAGGGAGCATAATTGTAATTTATCTTTTTTGTTTTTTTATTTTTTATTTCTTCTTTGGCTTTCTGAACTTTTTAAAATTGTGAAATATTACAGAAGTTTCTAATAATAATAAATAAATAAAATGTAAATTACAAATTTGGAGAACACACAAGTAGCTTCACTGCTTGTACATAATTATACCGATTTTTCTTTTAATAAATCTAAAAATACTAAAACCAATATAAATAATGTGGAGACATGAGGATAAGCAAAGAAAAAATACACATTCCAGTATAAAACAAATGATAACATCAACTTTTTTTTATATTTTAATAATCGGATGTCTAAACTAACTTATACGCACCTCGACCTTGGAAATTCATAGGTTTTACCATTCAAAATCTCAACAAATATGATAATTCAATACAAACAATCCAAACCTCAATGGTTTGATAAACACAAAATCAAATTTTGCAACTGCAGCCACAGTAACAAAAGCCAAAACCAAAAAAAGTAACAAAAGTGCATCAATACTTAACCTCCATTTGCTTGGGATCCAAATCATAGTCAATTGGATTCATACTCTTGATAATATATATATATATATATATACATGAATTCACATTGAGCTTATAAAACATTTCAATGACACTAAAATAATGATCACAAATAGTTTTGATAATCTCAAAGTTAATGGCAATTCTCTTACTTGATCCTCATTTAGCATAAATACAAGAAAATATTAAAAATTCAGCCAAGAGGGGATT